TTTTATTTATTCTTTTTTCAATTTACAATCCCATTTGCATACAAAATTGTACTGACTGTATTTAAAATCTCTCGAATACAATTTGCATTTATTTGTTTTTTCTATTTAAATTTAATGGTGTAGTAAATAAATTCGAAACAGATTTCGTGAGTGCTCCAATAAAATTGTTTGACTTATGGAATCGGTATCCGACATCCAAAATACAAAAATTCAGAAATTTTTTCACTTAAAATTATTTTTTTTAGTAATTTTAGTATTTAATGCATTTTCAATACTAAGTCATACATATGTGCCTTCTGGGTTTCTAGAATTTTCAGAAAATTGTCGAGTACTCGCCTTCTAGAATTTTTAAAAATTAAAAACACGTAAAACTTTCGAAAATTTGCAATTAGTAATAGCACGATAACTAAATGTGTAGTAGAATAATTTCAGAAACTAAAATAAAATTTGAACCTTTGGAGCTTGAAAATCGCCTAAATTTAATGAGAAGTAATTAAAGTAACAAAAATATCTTAAAAATAAAAAAAATTGCTATTAAATTATTTGAATAACAGGTGTTTAATTAAAAAATTTTAATACTCTAGCATTATTTAAATTTCTTGAATTGAACAAAAATTGAAGTTTTTTATTTTGTAATTTGTAAATTTAAAAAATAAATTTGTAGGCCAAATAAATTTGTAGGCATTGAATAATGCCAATTTATAAACACTAGTACTCACGTTATTTGGATATGGAAAAATTTGAAAATTTAAGCAACAAGGTGTTTTCAGGAATTTGTAGAAAAATAATTGTAAAGTAAAAAATTACTTAAAAAATTAATAAACCAATTTCATTTTTGATTCTAAATCATTGATTTTTATTTATTTATTTAGTTTTTTTCTATCTATCTAGTCTAGGGAAGAGTATCAGCACTTGTTTTATATTCTGTCCATGAAATATAACCATCTTTATCTAAATCCATTAAATCCAAAACCGGATCAATCATATTAATTAAAGTATCATCAGTACGTGAAACAGGACCATGTTTTCTTGAACCATGATGATCATCGTCATCATCATCATCATCATCATGATCATTTCCATGTTTATTAAGACTATCTGCTTCTGTAAAATTTTTTTTTATATTTTTTTTTTTTAAATATTTTTTACTTTTAATGATATTGTTGTTGTTATCCCTATTGCTAAATTATGAAAAAAAATAATATTTACAGAAGATTTTATTATTTGTAAATAATTCCAAAAAAATACATACAATTTAACGTATCGAATATTTATAGCTGAAATTTTGAAAATTTTCTTAAATAATAATTTTAAATTTAATTTTGTTCTTTATTAAATTTAATAATTTCTGATTGTTTAAACGTAATTCCTGTCTTGATAGCTTTATTGAATTATTAACTCCATTTGGATTTTTCAACTAAATCTTAATTATTCAATTTTATATTCTTATTAATTATACTTTTAATTTACCCAAGAACATACACATTAATTTTTTTTTCTTATAGTAAAAGATTTAGAAAAGAATATTGTAAGAAAGTCTAAAATATTTTAAGCGTAGACTTTAGTAATCGAAATCGCAATTAAAATTTAGAATATTGCAATGATATTATTGAAAGAAATTGGGTTTAAAACTTCATAAATTTAAATATTTATTACTATTAACTGCATGGATTTTAAAATATTCTCTAAATTTTAATCATTCAATTAATTTCTTAATAAATAATCTTTTAAAATTCTCAAAATATCAGCTACTTATATTTAATACCAGATTATGTATTATTTTTTAAAATGAATTTCCAAATATTTAGTCCAGCCAATCTTGTTAAAAAAAAAAAGAAAATAATTTTGATTAAACTTGTCTAAATTAAAAAAAGAAAAATGGAATCAATTAAAAATTTTTAAATAGTTGTTGTTAATAGAAAATTAATAAATAAAACTTTTAATAATAAAAATTTAAAAGCAGCCATTTTATTTCCTTTACTTTAGTAATCCTTTTTAAATTTTATATTTTTACACACGCATTTTCCAAACAACATAAAAAGAATTAATCACATTTCTAGAACAGCCAGTTAGATGCCAGTTACGTTTTTGGTTATTCAAGTTCGAGCCTTACTTTGTAATTCGATTTTCTGGAAACGATTTTCATATTATGCAGAAATGGAAAGGTTGTACTATACAAATTGATTTGTAGTACCTTACAATTTCTCCGAATACGAAAATCGAATTACATAGTAAGGTAACTTATAGCTAAAATTTTCATGTTACACTCGTATTTTTTCATTTACTTTCCCAGATTTCATTATTAAATTTTTTCAACAATTTCCAGGTCAGGTTTAACAATTTTAAAGCAATTTTATTGACACAGGAAACGCGCATTGCACTTAATTAAACAAATTTTTCAAAATTTATTACAAAATATAAAAATAATCAGTCTTTTTCTGGCATATTCAAAACTTATAAATTAAAATTTTAAACTTCATATTCTCAAAAACTACAACTGGCAATATAAATTTATTATTTCTTTTCATTATAAAACTCTAATTCCATTCCAATAGAATAATCATATAATTAAAATATTAAATTTTTAAAATGTTAGTGAAAACAATTTATAAATACATATAGAAATTTTATTTTTCACAAATATAAAATTTATTTAATCCCAACAAAACAATATAAAAGTTATTAGTAAATAAAAAAAAAATATAAATTTAAAAAAAAAAAGCGAATTAGAAATAAAATTATTTTTAAACAAAAAACTTTTAGTTTTGCAATATTTAATTTTAGTTAATTAAACAAATTATTTAAGATTCTGATAATATTAAAAAAATCAATAAAGCACAAACAATTTTGCTATTATAATAATTTTTATCGCGAATTTTTATATTTAATTTTGTGATAATTTCAATTTAAATTAAGCTAGAAAAAATAAGTTTTATATTAATATATGAATATTAATTGAAATATTGGAGATTTTCGATAATTCAGATATACATTTAAAATTCTAACTTAAATTTTAAAAATCTTGTTTTTGCATCATTACAGATCTAAAGGAATTCAATTTTTCAGATTTTTAATATCTAAAATCTAAGCTAGAACCTGAATTTCTGAAAATCCCCATTCTTGAATGTATATAATTTAATAATTAATATTTTACAAAATTATTTCTAATTCGTAATTAAAGAAAATTAAATTCTTTATATTATATTTTATATTAATTATAATTATGTGTGCTTTTATCGTGTTTTTTGTTATGATTCTGTTTTTTTTTTTTTCATATAGACAGTGTGAGTATACAAAAATATATTTTAAATATTTTGTTATTTACATATAATTTAAAAATAGTTTTAGCAACAATAAAAATTTAATATTAATAATAGTGTATTTTAATAATATAAATTTTATAGTTCAAATGAAAATATGAATAAAAAAAATTTAATTGCATTACAATATCAAATTACAAATTTAATGTGCAATTTTGTAATAATAAAATTTTTTATTAAAAATTTAATAACTACTGTTTCAAAACCTAGTATGTTTTTTTAATTATTTTTAAATTTTTAAAAATAACTATAAGAAATTAGGAAATTTATCACAATATTTATTATCAACAGAAAACATTATCTTATAACAATGCTCTTATTAAATTTAATTAATATTGAATTTTTATTATAATTAATATAATATTCAAATTTCATTTGAACTACAAATTATTGCCGAGAAAAGAAAAAAAATTCTTTATTTTTTTATGTTAATTTTTTTTTTATATAATTCACTAATATTTATATATTGTTCGTACAATCAAAACGTTTATTTATTCTTCTTCTCATTTTTCTTTTTTAAACTAGTGGTTCTTCACCAAGTTTATATTCCCAATATTCAATTTGACCATCACGATCTTTATCCATCATTTGTAATACATAATCAACCATTGATGATAATTCGTCATCAGTATAAGATTGTATTTCATGTTTTTCATCAGTTTTATTATTATCATCTTCACTATGTTTTTGTTCATCATTAACTAATTAATTTCAAGTATATGTATATACGAAAAATTATAATCAATTTAAATAACAAAAATATTTAGAATATGACAAAATTCTTTTTTTTATAAAATAATTAATTAAGTACATACCAAAATTCAAAGCATTTTACACGACACGACAATCATGCAAAATACATAATAGCTATATACGATTACATTATGCTTTTTTTTTTTTGAATTCGGCAAAATTAAATTTTTTTAAATTAAATATTTTAATTTTCAAAAGCTGACAATAACAAAACGGGGGAGAATTAATAAAAAAAAAAATTGGAAAAAAAAAATTATATCTTATTATTGCTATGTATATACAATATAAATGTAAGTAAAATATATAAATTAAAATTAAAATTTAAAAACAAAACAATTAACTTTGCTTTTAAACTGAAAATTTAATTAATATTAATATAAAATTTGTATTTAAATATAAGAAATACATACAATGACTTCATATATTAAGAATATTAATTAAATTGTTAAATTTTATTAATAAAATTATATAATAATAAAAGAGAGTTTATTATTAGTAAATTATTACAAAAATAAAATATTAAATTAAAACAATTAATATTTTTATTATACACAGTCAGTATTAATTTTATAGTAAAATGTTATCGTAAGTTTTTGAAATTTTAACTAATCCACCATTTATACAATATAACAAAAAACTTATTTTAAATTAATTATAAGCATATTGACATACATTTTAAGCAATTTATAATAAAATTTATAATATAAAAGAAAAGTAAGAGATGATAACATTAAAACCTTTAATATTTAAAAAAGCACAAATAATACAAAACAAAATATAAATTATAAAAAATTTGAATACAAATAAAATAAAAATTTAAATTAATATTTTTTCAATTAAATTTAATTACAAAAATTACATATAAAACATTAAATTTATTATATATAATAATTAAAATGAATAAAATACAAAATAATTTGTGTAACTTTTCTTTTTTTTTTTAATCCTCTTTTTTTTTTTTTTATTTTTTATTAAATTATAAAATATTTCTCTTTATTTTTCTATTTTATAGTTTAATTGTTTTTACAATTTTTAACATTACTTTCATATTTACATTTAAAAAAATTCTAGCTGCTGGAATGATTTATTTTATAATTATAACAATTAATATTTTTCCTTTACAAAATTATTCAGTCCCTCATTCTTATTTTGAGTTTAATTTAATTTTTTTCTTAAAAAATTTACTCAAATCAAATAATAATACCATCTAGCTATTTTAAATTTAAAATTTATATTTTTTCATAAACGATATAAACATTTTTAATTAAATCATGTTATTAAAACAATTTGTCGGAAATTTAATTTATTTATTTTTTTATTTTTAGTATTTTAAGGAAATTTTTTATAATTTAAATTTTTAATTGAATTTATAATTCAGAGCTATTTAATTATTATTATATATTTTTATTGTAAAATAAAATATTATGATAAATTAATAAAGTTCAGACAGACCCTTATTGCACTAACCACTTTATTACTTTTTAACTTTTTAAAAAAATCAATTTTTTTTTAACATTTTATTAGTGTTTTAGTGTTTTTGTTCTTAATGCAACAAAAACACTAAAAAATTTTTTGATTAATTTACTAAAAAGAATAAGAAATCGTTTGTGCAATAGGTCCTCTGTGATGCCCTGGTATTTATGAATTTTATTAAAACGTTTTATAAAATTCTATCTTTCAAATATTCATAATGTTTATAAAATTTACAAATTCTTCAAATTAACCAAGAGCATTTTTTATTTAATATTTTTGTAGCAATAATTAACCCAATTCAATTTAATAAACTATAATAATATTCAAATGAAATATAAGAAATTTTTGTTCAAATGTAAATGAATTTTTGAATTATAAATTATATTTAAACTTAAATACTATATTATTGTTTATATCGTTTTTTTTTTATTTTAACATTACTATTTTTTTTTTATAATGTACACATATATAGTTTTATTCTATAATTTTTCATAGTAAATAGTAAAAAATATTAATTGAGATGTTTGTTTGCTATTAACTTTAAAAAAATATTCGATTAGTTTTTATAATATTCGTTATGCATAATATTGGAAAGTTTTAAAGTTCTTCATAAAAATATTAAAAATTATTCGAAACCCAAAATTTTATTTGAAAACCTAATTGATGGTAAACTCTTCCTGAATAATACATATTAAATTTTATAATATTTACATTGTTTAAATTACAATAAAAATGAATTTAAATTTTTTTTAAGAAATTAAGTTTACCAAACACTTACTAAATTTAATATTTAGAGTAAACAGCAAAATGTAAATATAAATAGATATTCGAATATAAATTTAATATTAGAATGTTGTTTAAAGAATGTTCTTGTTAATAAACTAAATAAGAGAAGAAAAAAAATATACAAAAAATTGTCAATAGCTACTTATAAGTTTATAAAAACAAATTTCAATATCTTTACATTGAATTAATTAAGATTAACAATTATGACAAAAAAAAAGTATCAATAAACAATTATGAAAATACAATTGAATTATAGGAAAATTAAAATGCTCCCTGTAATTATTTTATTTCTTATTGTGATTCTAAATAAAAAAAACTTCATAAGAAATTTAAGTATTCTGATGTTATTAATAAATCCAATCTCTTATATTAGTTTTTTTAATTTTTACATACAGCAAATATTTTAAAATAAACATTATGTATTTAATTACAAAAATTACGTTTTACAAAATTTTAATTTAAATTTTCTTTTTAAGTTTATTTAGAAAGAACACATAATTGAATAGAGTTTCATCCATACTCTTGAAATACCGAATTTATAGCTATAATTTACAATAAAATATATTTTATAAAAATGATTTGGGTTTCTCAAATAAATTTGCTTTTTTGTAAAAATTTTTTAAATATATTTCGTAGCCAAAATAAATGAAATTTATATGATTATGTTTTTACTTTTTTTTTTAAATTAAATTAACTATTGATTTTTCAAAAAATTTATCATTCAATATTTCAAGAGATTTACGTACAAGTATGCTATATAACTTATAAAACGCTAATATAGCTTGTGATATAAACCTTAATCTAATGTGATATTCGTAATTTAATATAAAAAATAATAAATGTTTACTTGTTTAACATTAAAATCATGGATCTAAAATATTAACTTTATGGATTTGGATTTTGTTGTTGCTGTTGTTGTTGCTGTGCTTTTGCTTTTTGTTGAGCTTTTATAAATTCAGGGTAATCAATAAAACCATCTCGACTAGTATCATCCATTTGTAAAATAGGATCTATTAGGGATGTTAATTCATTATCGGAAAATATTTTTTCTTCAACATGTGGTTTTCCTTCTTGATGTGGTTCTTTGCTTCCTTGTTCTTTATTTGAGCAGTTAATGTATGTATATTTATTAGGATTTTTTTTTTCACATTGATATTAAATTTCAGTATCATTTTATTTATTTTGAAGTGTTTGTGTTTTATTGTTAATTTTTGAATTTTCGTTTCGATTAACGTAAAATACAATAATATTAATAATTTTATAATAATTTTTACATTTACTATAATAAAATAAAGTTTTTTGCTTCATAATATTTAAAAAAATAAAAAAAGAATCTTTACATACGTAACATGTATGTGCATTTTTAAGTAAATCAAATCTTAAATACTTTACGACCTTTAAAAGTTTATAAATTAAATTCAAGAGTGTATTTTTAAATAGACATTTTACATAAATAGTAGAAATATAGAGGCAAATTTTAAAGCAAACTAACAAACAAAAAAATCATTTTTTTCATTATGAAAATTTTAAATTTTTTGGTTTGAAATTTTTCTTTGAGTATGTGTAAAATATGAATTCAATATAATATGTAATCGAATCACATTATTCATTAGATCTAGACAGACGTTAATGATTCAAACAAACTTTAAAAATTTCAAAACAAAATATTTTATAGATACCTTTTGTTTAAAAAGAATTTTAGTTGAAGGAATATACAAAAGGAAGAATTTGAAAATGCTTATAGGAAAGGACAGAACACCCAACCAAAATAAAAACAAAATAAAAAACAATAAACAAAGAATTTTTTAAATATCTCTTACCATGCCAATGAATAAGGGATTTAATTAATTCACAGCCATCTAATTTGTTATTATTATCAGAATCATGCATTTTGAAATAATGGAATTGTAACTCAGCTTCTGACATTTTACTAGTATCTATTGGAACAGCCATATGTTCCTGAATATGTCTAAAATTAAATGTTAATTTAAAAATTATTCAATAGGTATTATTAAAATAAATTATGTACTCTCTTTCATGCTGAATGTTTGCGGCATTTAAAACTTTTTGAGGTTGACCTTGTTGGTATTGTTGTTGTTGTTGCTGTTGTTGTTGGTGTTGTGGCGGTTGTTGTTGCTGTTGATGCTGCTGCTGTTGTTGCTGCTGTTGCTGATGTTGTTGATACTGTTGTTGATCAATTGGAGTGGAAGGAGGTTGAACATGCATTTGTTGTTGTTGTTGTGGCTGTTGATATTGCTGCTGTTGCTGGTATTGCGGTTGCACTGGTGCTTGATGTTGTGCATACTAAAGTATTCATGTAAAGTAATAATAATTTACATAAAAGCTATCTTTTAAATTTAAAATGTTTTAAGTTACCTGCTGTTGTTGTTGTTGCGGGTACCCTTGTTGTTGCTAAAATAAATAAATCAAAAGTTTATAAAAAAATTTTTCATACCAAATTATTTATTCAAAAATTTACATAATGTTGTGGTGGAACTCCAGGTGCCACTCTTTGCGAATTAACTTTTAAGCATAATAATAATGAAATATATAAAAATAAACTTTTCCGAATCATTTGAATGAATTTTCTATTAATAATATTAACAAAAGATAATTTGATTATAATTCGCAAAAGATAGTGAAAGTTACACTACAGTATAATATAACGTCCACGTCAGAAACTCGTTAACAGTGATTTGGCTAGATGAAAATATCTTTATCAGGTTTAAAGCAATACAAGAAAATAAGAGAGAAAACTTCAACGCTACCTATTTTTATTAATATTCAGCAGAAGAACATGAAGATTTATTTTTGGAACGAATTGTAATGTGAAACAAAACAAAAGATTATCTCTCAAATATCAAAAAAAAACTTATTCATTGACAGATGACTATGATTGTCACAGAACTGAACGTCATTTTAATCAGTTTATGTCAGTTAGTTCGAAATAATAACACACTAATATCTAAAGTGCGTTTACAAATAAAAATAAGTATGACAGTTATGAACATTATGTGTTTTGAGGAAATGTTTTTGATTTCCTAAGGTATTTACTCAAAATTTTTGATTTATATTTAAAGGGATTTTGTAAAAAATGCGGTATAACAAACAAAATTTTCTTCCAAATACAAAGTTCTAAAGACCCATTAAATTAAATTTTTTAAGTTGAACAACATTCAAATTATTTTAAAAAATATCATAATTTAAATTGACTACATAATCTCTGTAATGTCAATATAAAAGTCAAACTTTCAAGTTATTACTCAGTGTCAAGAGTGATCTAAGATCCAGGTTTTCAAACAACAAACCGATAGGTCTAACTATAATGATCTTAAGATACTTTAACGCCACCTAAGTTTTTGTATGAATATGTAAAGGTCTTAAGTTAACTTTCGTTAGCTTTTATACGCTTCCGTAATACATGCTTTTATTTTTGACTTAGATAATTGAGTTAAAACTTAATTATGTGCTCGTGAAAGAATCTTTAAAAAAAAGCTGGTGTGTGGTTGCATATTTTTAATAAAAAAATATGTACGAAGCAAATGCTTCTACAAAACATTGGAAAATGTTTCACACTTTTTAGTAAATACTTAATTTTCTTCTTTCTCTTTATTCTTAATTTTTTTTAACATTCAGTCTTATGTTCAATTAAGTTGTCTTAAACAACGAAAGCTCGTATTAAGACATCTAAAAATTATTACAGTTAGGCCAAATTCGCTTCAACATATAACTATATTTTTAAAAATTTATTTTTAACAATATAACTATTTATATATAATTTGAATATCATATATAGTATTTACAAAAACTAGATTTAATTTGCAACAAATTTTTCAGATGATACAAGTATTTCTTAAAAATATTACTACTATATTTTAATACCTATAAAAAAAACTAGGGGGTTAGATATTCAAAAGTTAACTTACCATTACCACACAAACCTAACTTAAAAAAAATCAAGCATAGAAAAATTAAAGCCTTAACACTTTAAAAAGGGTTAAAATAATATAAACATTTAAAAAAAAAACTAAATGTTTTTAATTTTGTTTGACCTATGTTATGTCATTTTATATTTTACTCACCAAATGTCAATATATGAAAAGTCCAGTATACTAAATAAATTTAAGGCGTATGGTAACTTTAATCACGCCAAGCCAACATTTTGTTCTTTTATAAAGCACGTTTGCTACAAGAAGCGTTTTGATTGGTTAACATTTTCGAATGTATACACTTTTCTTTATTGTCATTTGTAAAAGTTTGCTACACTTTTTAACAACGCGATAAACGAACGGATTTACTGGCGGTCTGTGGTGAGAAAAAAATTTATATGAAAACAGTAGTTTCTGACTTGATCCCAATAGAATAACTTGTAGAATTAAACAGATAAAATAAAATATTAAACGTATATTTTTAAAAAGTGTAATTTAATAATATAAAAAGTAATTATTTGCTTAATTTGTATAAGTAATTCAAGTCGCTATAGAATTGTTACTTTAGAAAAAAAGAGTTTATTAAAGTTATTCTTTTTGCTTTTAAGATACGTTCTAGCAAATTTGCAAAAAATATTTTGAATTTATTATTTAAAAATAAAACATTGTTTTGTTTTATAATAAATTAATATTAAAATGTAGACTGTACACATATTTGAATATAGGTTATAGCTTTTAAAGATAATAATTTGCTTCATATTTAGCATGCATAAGATATAAGCAATTTTTATAGAATAAGTTATTCAATATTTTTCATTAATTAAAATTCTTGTTTTAAATAAGCGCTTGAAGGCAATTTTAGAATGGTTGGCAAAGATATTGATCCTTCGGAAATTGGGAAACATCCAAGTATTATAAAAGGTAAAAGTGTGTCGATTGAAATAATTTTTATTATAATTCGATATGCATGAAACCGTAATACATTACCAAAATTTCTTTCTTCAAATTTTCAGCTGCACAACGAGAAATGACCCAATCAGATGTGCTAGTTTGTGGGAAATGCCATTCAGTTTTCCACTTTATTGACCTTTTTATTGAGCACAAAGAAAATGATGAAAATTGTTCGAAAGAATCCAACTTGAAAGATTGCAGAGAAACAAAACCAAAAGTATGGGCATTTTTACTATGGAAATCTGCACAGTTAAGTAACACCAAAAATCAAAATGATTCAAGTCATATGAATTCGTGGCAATTATATCAAACATGGGTTAAAATGGAAGAATCAGTTAGAGAAACTTGGGTTGTAGCTGGTAAAACAATACAATCTTTCAATAGAGTAGGTCAAGGAACCCTACAAGAAATGCCTGTAAAAATTACAAAAACTGTTATTGATACAGCACCCACAAATAGTATGTGAAGAGAATTTTTTTTAAATGAGTCATTATTAGACAATAATAAAAATATGATTTCAGAATCATTAGCAACTGCGGGAAATCGCTTTAATCCTGTTGCTAATCGTGTGATTAAAAAAGAGGATGGGATTGTAAAACGAGACGATGTAACAACAGATGAAGAATTTTCACCAACGGATAGGCAAAGAATTATAAAAAATCAAACAAATACAAATTTAGTTCAAAAAACTAGCCCAGTTGTAATTAAACCAAATCAAACATCGTAAGTATAGTTTGATTAAAATGAATAAAATGATTAATAATTTATTACAATAGGCGTAGAGCAAAAAGGACAATCCCTAATTCATCAAGCACAGAATTTGAAACTGTTGAAAAAATTGTAGCAAAAAGATTTAACCCACGCAGAAAAATGCATGAGTACTTAGTAAAATGGGAAGGCTATCCTCATGATCAAAATAGTTGGGAACCACAATCACACTTAGATACTTGTCCCCAGCTTCTAGAGACATTTGAAAAGCAATTGGCTAGACAAAAAGAGCAAAGAGCAGCACAAGAACGTGCACGATTGCAACAACAACAAGCAAATAGTATAAATAGTGCCGCTACTTCAACACCGATACCCAATGCTAAAAAAATTACGGAAAACTCGATCGATAAACCACTTTCAACTGTGACAGCAACTTCAAATGCTAGTCCGTTGTCCCCACAAGCCCGTTTAAATCGAGCGACGTTGAAGGTGAAAAGTGATGACGACAAACAATTGGATTCACATGAAGTGTCAGCTGATCATACTGGAAGTATTCCAAGTATTAAAAGAAAACTTGACGACAGCGATTTCAATGCAAATACAACCGGTGAAGAGGATTTCGAGGAAGATGCAATTCCAGTTCATGCTGTAAAACGCCTGAAAAATGGTACAACAATTACAACTTCAACTGGAAAACCTGAAAATAAGCTGGTATTTAATTTTTTCAAATGAAAATTCGTTGGTAAATTTTTGCCTATATGGTTTTAATGGTTTTGTTATTCATAGTCCCCACAAATATCTAAAACTGTCAATGGAGCCGTTAAATCCCCCACAAGCACCGACAATTCTGCTGATGTTGTTATAATTAAGGAATCAAATTCTGGAATTGTTCGTAAGGTTACTCCCAATTCAACTAATAGCTCCGTAAGACTTAAAATATAATTATGATTGCAGTATATAATATTTTTATAATTCTTTTTAGCCGTCTCAAAAAGGCGAGGCTTCTGTTCGAATTTTATCTCGTGGGGAAACTGCTTCTAGTGGAATTATTCGTTTATCTGGCAGTACACCTAATTTGACAGCAGTTGGAACCAATTCAACTACGAACACTTCTAATATTAGGAATCCCGTACAACAAAGATTAATCCAAAAAAGTAATAGTGTTGCAAATATTAATCAAACAACACGAACCGGCTCACCACAAATTAACCGACCAACCTTGGTAGGCCAACGAAGCACGGCGCAAACCGTTAGGCCCGTAACAACTCCACAACGGCCCCAAATTCTTAGATCAACAACAACAAGCACACCGCGTCAATTACAAAGTCAAGCTAAAACTACGACTATTTATAGGCCATCATTATCACCTGGGAATGCAATCTCAAACACACCTCAATCTGGACGTATGGTTATTAACAGAAGTGTTCGGCAAACACAAGTTAACAAACCCGTTACACCTGAAGAAAAAATTTTACAATTATCTAAATCTGGTGACTTGAAAATAACAAGAAAAACTATACCAACGTCACAGGATCATCAAATGAAAGCACCTTTAGGCCAAAATCGTATGATCCAAAACAGAAGTAGCCATTTATCACAACAGAGGACTCAAATGATTTCATCAAAGCCAGGCTTACAAACTCTGCCTACAAAACTATCTATTGCTGCCAAAAGCCCCTCACCTTCACCGCCAGGTGGGGGCCTAACGTTATGCCCTATTACTGGTAAAATATTAACCGAATCTGGTGAAGAAGTCCCTCCACCCACACCAACGCCAGAAAAAAAGGATGAATCGGGAGTTGTCACTACTCAAATGCAATTTGCAAATGAACAAGAAGCGCTAGCAGCTGAAGGAACTACAATAACTTTAGGAGAAGGTCAACAAATTCTTACTAATGAAGATGGTACACCATTATTAGTTAGTGGCGAGGATGGAACTATTTATCAAGTTGCTGGCAAAAATGCTGAAGGTCAAACTATTTTAATAGCTCAGGGAGCGGACGGTGAGCAACAGTTTGCTTATGTTGCTGCAGAAGACAATGATGGAGAGAATGGTGCAGCTACGGGGGTATTAACCTTAGATAATGCTGTTGCTGAGGCCGTTGCCAACATGTTACCTGAACAACAAAATGAAAGTTTATCAAATGCAACAGCTGGAAACACTAATGAAACTCAATATGTTATTAAACAAGAAGACGGAACTGTTGTAACGGCAACAGCAGCACAAGTAGCCGAGTCTGAAGCTGCTGCGAATGCAGCTGCGGTAGCAGCTGCAAGTGGAGGTCAACTTACAATTGATACTAATCAAGCATTGACGATTCAAACTGGAGCTGGTGATAGCGATTCCCAAGATGCAAATATTCCTGCTGAAGTAGTTCAAGCAGACTTACCTTCACCAGGTTATTATTTTAGCAATTAATTAATTTTATAGTTTAACAAAATTAAATTTTTTTTTATTTAGGCGGAACTCGAAGAGTAATTTTGCTTTTGCAAGACGGCACATTTATGATGACAGAAATGCATGATGACGAATATCAAGCTCTGAACATTACATAATTAAACTAGAGCTTAACCTTTGAACTTTAACAATTTTAAATGGGAAATCCGGACAGAAATATGCCCTGAATTATGAAGAATATTTCAGAGTAATAGTTGAAGAAATATTTTTAAATAGATATATACATTTATATATTAAGTATTTTAAATTGAGTAAGACTTTAATTTGATGTTTTTTTTTTTCTCTCGAAAGTGTAATTATAAAAAGTAGTAGAGAAGTATGATTTGTTTTTTGTATTAACATGTTAATACTTGACATTTACAGTAAAGTAAACTCATCGGTACTTTAAAATATATTTAAAGATTTTTAATTTATAGATTTAATTTTCATTTTTATCTTCCGTTTCTTGTAAAATCAACATACCTATTAATATAATTAGTATCTACGGAATTTTTATAAAATTTTTAATAAAAAAGTTAAGAGTTTATCTAAAAAGATAATTTAAGTAAATAATAAAATACATATACACAAATTAAAACAAGAAAATTTCAAATTTTGCTTAATAGTTTGTCGCTATACATATTGAAATAAATTTTTAATTTTAGAAATTATATAAATAATAGCATTTCGTTAAATGGTCATATCATTTTTATTAGGCTAAAAAGTATAACATTACAAAACACCGTACCGCACAATCAAAAATTCATATTAATAAATAATAAATTATATTAAAGATACTCCCCCACCAAAATATTCTAATCTAGTCTGTGGCTCAACAAATGCTAGCCAATCGGATGCATGAGTTGGTAGTAATCCCATACTTTGGCATTTATATAAAGCTAAAGCAATGTTTGCCAAATTTCCTAATAGATATATTAATTTTTGGCCACTTCCCTGTGTGCCATCGGCCATTTTAGATGTAGGAGCAGCAAACATAGCTTTAATTGGTCTAATTAACATCATACCAACCATCATTATTGGAAAAATCGATATTGAATTTCCTGCCATATACATTATAAAGAGATTCATTGGTAACTGAAAAAATAAAACGAATTAAATTAGTTTGCATTCTAGCTTTTGTTAAAATAAATTTACTTGTTTAAATGGTCCCAAAGCTAAATCCCATGATCTTTTAATCATCAGATGATGATCTCGAACAACTTCGGATTGACTTTGTGGAACTGATGGATTATATCCCGGTGGAGATGGAATATCTGTATTCTTGCTAATTAAAGAAAAAAATATTATTCACATTTTTAATTGGATTATACTTTAACTTACGCAACATTAAAATCTAGCGCCCATTTAAATTTTTTGTTTGATACTTTGGTAGACATTACTTTATTATAAAATTATTCTGTTAATAAAATAAATTGGATTTGGTGCTTCTGCTTAGAATTTTACAAACTTTTGGCAATTTGACATTTGGCTCTGGCAATTATGTAGAAATTACAATTGACAATGATTTTTGTGCGCTCTCTGTTGACTGAATTTGTAACTAAATAAAAAGTTTACATAAATGCTTTGGGTATTGCCATAAAGGTGCGTTTACATGTTGCGTTATCATTGCAAAGTAGTGCATCGGAATATATTTATGCAATATAGGCTTTGCATAAAAACTAAGTTTAGTTATTTAGTAAAGAATAATTAGCTTTATATTTAAAAATTTTTACTTTTATTATCATATAGTGTAGAAACATTTACAGAAACGTTTTTATAGTCAAAAGCTGCTTTTCACCTTTATGAACTTCGCAATGAAAAATCCAATTGTACTTATGTTAGTTTGTACATTGTTTATGCAAAATCTTTGCAAGTATGACCTTGTAAATGAAAAATGATCAATATTTGAACATAAAAATATTAAACTCAATATTCAAGACAATACCTTTCTTTTTCTGCTAAACCGTCTGTTTCGATAGCGACACCTCCAAAAATGGGTTCTGCTGGAACTAATTTCAGTTCGTCAAATTTTTTTTTAGCCCAAACAATAATTTCTTCATTTTCATCTTGATGTATTGTACATGTACTATAAACTAATGTTCCCCCTATTTTTAACAGCCGAACAGCATTTTCAAATAATTTCTTTTGCATTTTCGAATATGATTTCAACATATTTTGAGAAATTGTACTTGACAATAAGGGTCGATTTCCCAATGAGCTGCAAGGAGCGTCGAGAAGTATTCTGTCAAAAGCTTCAGGTGCAAATGGTGGGCCATTTCTTATAGTTTCTAATGACTTATCCGTTTTAGTTAAATCTATGCCCTTTGTAGAATCAAAGCAAAAAGCGTATACGTTATTCCATTGATTCAATTCAATTTTCTTTTTTAATGCCTCAATTTTGGAGTTTATTTTATCGATTGCTATGACTACGTTTTCATTTTTCGTTAATTCAACAATATGCGAAGTTTTATTTCCTGGAGCTGCACACATATCTAGAATTACTTCATCAGGTTGCGGATTCAACACTTTTGAACAAACAATTGAAGGAAGATTTTGCAACAAAATCTTATCAGAAGATAAGTCACCTAGCGACGGAACCCCAGATATAACTTGTAACATTTCAACTGCTATTCCACTGAATTAACATTTCGATTTACATTAAAAAAAAAAACATAATTTTGTAAATTTTTTACCTGGAATCGACGTTTTTACCATATAACTGATACCTTTGCATTTTCGTTATACCAATTCCAATGAAAACTTTCTCTTTACAATCATAAAAGACATTTGTTCCCTTTTTACATTTTCCAGCCAAATCTGCAAACACGTTTACTTTTTCATTTAGTTGTGTACCTTTGGTAAATTAAAATAGTGTTACTTAAAACTATCAAAATAAAAATTTATTCATCTTTTACTGGTAATTACTAAAAATAGTTTAAATGGAAATAGAACAATTTTCTTTTTCCAAAAGTTATTGTTTGATTACCAATATTAAATTAAAAAAAATGTTTAATATAAATATATATTTACCGGTATTCATTGCTAAAACCCCAGGCCCGTATACATGCGCCCCTCGTAATAAAGCTGAGCCACAATAAATATCAACAATGACTTCTTTCAGTTCCGGATTAAACACTGGAATTTCATCTATCGATGATATACATAAAACTTCCGGAACTTCATCCAAAAGGAATATACTTGGTGGTTTTCGAAATTTAGCTTCTATTATTTTAGTGATATAAGATTTTGCTTCTTCTCGTGTAGTTTTTAACAAATTTATTCTATAAGTAGTATGTTTCGGTGAAATACATAACCATTCCAAAATTTTTTTCACCTCTGGTGACTGAAATTTAAACAATTCGAAAATACAATAAAATTAGAAGTGAATAGTGGGCTTTAATATTTTTCGAAAAATAATTTTATATATCCATCTCTTTTTATTGAATTTATTAAAAATATACATATATTTTTTGACAGATATTCAACACGTCTTTCTTTTCTACGGTTTTTCTCTTGATTATAAAGCCCGCATGGTACTTTCGTGGTTTTAAAAATAGGAAATAAATAAAACTAAAAAGTTTATACTTACATTCCGTTTAAATATTTGTGATTCGATGCCTGGATTTTTTAAAAAGGGCGACTTTGGATAAAACATAATTGTAAAAAATAGTTTAAAACGCCAAATTTTTATTCGGAATTAGATTTGTAAGTTAACTACTGTGTGAAAGAAAATTTGCATATCCCATTGCGCGAAAAGGATAGATAGCTATTATTGAAAAAGCGAATATAGAAAAATTTCTTAATACTGATGCGAAATATTTAAAGGATAAAAAAAATTATTTTATGTAAGTACTTAATAATTTAAATGAAATAAGTGTAGGTATAAAAAAAATTTTTAACTTTCGAATTTTTCTAAAAATTATTTAAATTATAGATATTGACAAGTTAGCGACGTGGCAATGTAATACATAGTTATTTTATTATGTTTGGGACATTTTTTTTTTTTTGTAAAATTTCCTTTCCTAAAACTGTATTGCCATATGTTTGCTCTCTAAACAAATATTAAGAAACCTTGACGGAATTTAATTCCGAAATAAGTTTTAAAAAATTAAAATAATTATTTAATTTTTTTTCATTTACATTTGATTTATATTTTTGTATTTATTTTAATACACAATTTATATATATATAGTGATTTAAATGAAACTCATTTTTATTAAACAGTAACTAAATAAGAAAGTTTTTAGCATTATAATGTTGGCCTTGTTAACGTCATTTTCGCTAATTTGTCATTTTCAATGAAATAACATATGAAAAACTGGGACAAATATACAATTTTAGTTTCATTTTTTTCTCCCAAAAAGACATGAAAGAGATACATGTATATTCTGTTCACGAATTTCGAAAATTCATTTAATTATAATTAAATGTCGATATTCAAGTATTCAAAGAGAAAGAAATAAAATTTAAAGGAAAAAAATACCGCCCGGATAGTTAAAAATCGAGCTGAGTTATTAAAAAAAGAAAATATATATATTATTTCATTAGTTTAATTTCGAATGTAAAATTTTAATTTCATAATAATATCTTAAATTTTTGTAATATAAGGGAATTTCATTTTTTTTTTTGTGTGTGTAAAATTTTAATAAAGAAATAAGCGGCAGTCGCTAAATATTGTGCGAAGAAGTTATATGTACATAAATGTGAAAATTTATAGATAGAAGAAAAGTGTTACTTATTGTTTTATCTTAAAATTGAAATTTGAAACTAAGTGTAAGTAATTATATTAAAATAATATAATTTTAAAAAAAAGAAGAAATAAAAATATTCAAAGAAAATTTTCTCAAAATGGTTTAAATTGAAAAATCAAAAAAAAAAAAAAATTGGAAATGAAAATCCATTTTTTTTTTTCTTATGAATATTAAAGAAAAAGAGAGCATATGAATTTAAATGACAGCCATATAAGAATCAAAGAAGACAGAATGAAATGAATATAGATGTTAGTAGGTTGGCTGACATAAAAGTCAAACGTCGAAAATGTTAATAGGAAAGACTAGGTTTGAAGGGTGGTGTTAGTTTTTTTTTTTTTTTTTGGTGTGAATTAAAAAAAGTAAAAGATCTTATTTTAAAATAAAGCAATAAAGGTTAATAATTTATTTTTGTATATAAAAATATATTAATTAATAGTTTAGTATTAAAATTTATAAATTGTGAGTATAACAAAGGAGTGGACCAACAATATTTGAAAAATTTAAATTGATTTTTTTTTTTTACGTTGTCTTGTAATTTTTTTTTTTTTGATCACCAGCAGTCAAAACTCATTTAATTTTTTTTTTTTTATTCGGTTGTGTCTTTTGTCGTTGGCTGACTCAGAGATATTTAGTATTTTTTTTTTTTAAATACATACAATATTAATTCTAATATATTTTGATTAATTAATTAGTTATAAATAAAATTTAAGGAAGTTAGAATATAGAAAAGGAAAGCGTGTAAGTATCGATAAAATTCAAAATTCTCTGAATATGTACAACATAGTTTATCTGGAAATTAATTACGTGGTGTATATGTACTTACGGCAGCAGTCGTCAGTCCTACATAGAAATATTTCAAAAATTTTTTTTTTTATTTTTTATATTTTGTTAGACTGCGCGAGAAATCCTAAGTACCTACATAGTAAAAAAAAAAGAAAATACTCTGTAATAATGTAGTAAAGTAAAAAAATTTAAGATACGAAATGAATTAAAATCGAACAATTTTTTCCATCTTAATGTGAGGTTATGACCGATTGAACAAAAAGAAACTTTTTAAGTAAGGCGAAATTTTATTATGACGTATGAGAATTTTTCTTTTCAAAAAAAAAAAAAAAAAAATTAAAATAAGTTACTATGTGTTGTTTTTTTTTTATTGTGTCTTTGAAATTCACATTTTAAATTGTAAATGATTTTTTATTATAAACATGATTAAATTTTTCCACAAAAGAAAATCTATGCTTGATTTCAATTAATATTACAATAGAAATTTGATTAAAATGAGTCATTATTCTTATAAATATGTAAAAAGTTACTGGTGATAATCAGGAAAGATTTAGGTACGTTTTTTTTTTTCTAATTTTGATATTGTGGTCTATTTCCTATTTACAAAAATCATAATAATTTGAAATGTTGGCATTTTTTTTGTTTATATGAATGTTAGGCTTATTATTAAAAATTAAATAATGTAAGTGTGTAGCTTACCTACTTTTCTAAGTACAATGTCTTAATACCTTATTTATTCACCTAATTTTTTAATATATAAGATTATTATATAGGTAACATCTAGGTAGGTAGTACCTAATTTAGGTATTTAGGTAGGTACTACCCAGGTTAGTCTATTTTTAAAATTTTATTATTGTAGACAACTTCATCTTAAAGTAGAAGTTTTTCCAACTTCATAGAAGATTGTTTTAATAAAACCTTGAAATAGAAATTGGGGTTCATTAAATTTCCCTATTGACCGAAATTTAGTCAAAAAAAAAAAATACAAAAAACAGAAAACCAGTTTTTCTATATTAGATTATGTTTTTGACAAAAAAAAAAAAACAAAATTTTTACAAATTATGCAAATTTTCACTTTTACCTTTTTTTTTTATAAATGTTTTATTATTAAGATATATATTAAGTAAATAAAAAATGTATTTTCTTTCTTTTTTAGATTAATTGAATCTTTGTTCTTTTTTTTTCGTTTTTTTTGGAACTAAAAGTTGACGTCGATAAATAATTAAATTATAAGTAAAAAGGAAACCAATTCAAAATGGGAAATATATTTGCAAATCTGTTTAAAGGACTTTTCGGTAAAAAGGAAATGAGAATATTAATGGTCGGTTTGGATGCTGCTGGTAAAACCACAATTTTGTACAAACTCAAATTAGGTGAAATTGTTACAACGATACCTACAATTGGTAATTAAATTTTTTATTTATTGCTTAGTTATTTTTTTTTTTTTTTAAATTAATATCTGTAAAACAGACAGGGTTTCAATAGTTGATCAAAAGGATTAAAGATAAAGTATAATTTTTATCAATAAATCTTTTTTAATTGGAAATTGTCTTACATCAGTTGATTAACTTCGGAACCCTTCATATATATTTTTTTTTTTTTTGGAAAATCGTAAACTCAAATATATTTTTAAACAATTTTAGATATGAATCTTTTACATTTTCTCGAACTTGTAGATTTCATATCTAAGTAATTCATATAAAATGATTTGTATTTATTTTATAACAATATACATATATTATATATAATTTAAGGTTTCAACGTCGAGACTGTAGAATACAAGAATATTAGCTTTACAGTATGGGACGTAGGCGGTCAAGATAAAATTAGACCATTGTGGAGGCATTATTTCCAAAATACACAAGTAAGTTTCTCATAAAATAAAAAAAAATTTAATTTTAAATCTATGTAAGTGATGAAAAAAAAAATGTTCCCAGAATTTTTTATTTATGATGGATGAACATATTGTTTCAAGACGGGACTGATTTCATTTTAATATTAAATATTAATATACATATATTTATATTGATCATAATTTTTTTTTTCAATTTTTTTTTTCTCTTTAACCAATATTTCTCTAGGGTCTCATTTTCGTCGTTGATAGCAATGACAGAGAGCGTATCGGAGAAGCAAGAGAAGAATTGATGCGAATGTTAGCTGAAGATGAACTCAGAGATGCTGTTTTACTTATATTTGCCAACAAACAGGTACATATAATAAAAAAAAACTATTACTTTAAATTATATAGATATTTAATAAATCTGCAATAAAACATAGAGAAAATTATGTCTATATAAAATTATATATAATATATATGTACGCATATATATATGTTAGTTTCAATTCAAATCAGTACAGAAATAGAAAGTTATAGAAATTTCAATTAATAATTTGTTGATTTTAAATAATAAATTTCTTCCAACAATTCTTAAAAGTAAACAATAAAGTTGATTCGCAGCTTTTGATTTGTTTTTTAATACAATTAGAAATGTTATTGGTATATGCTTATGTACATGTACGTTATATACATATTTGTTGTTTCTATTTATTTTTAACTACATACCTTTATTTACTCATTTATTTTTTAATCATTTTTATGATATATACATGAATATTTATTAAGATTGATGTTAAAACATTTACGGAATAAGACGTCATCAACAAGATAAGATAATAAAATTAACAAAAAAAAATAATAGATCCAATTAAAAATTTGGTTTATTGTACATATTTATAATGTTTTCGAAAATATGTTTAACTCAATAGCTGTAACTATTCAAAAATGAATTGCTTTCATTCGAGTGAATTTTTTAAATAAGAAAATTTTTATCTTAAATATTTTTTAATTTCAATCAATCAAACGTTTTGGAACAAACATTTTATTCATTACAATTGTATACATATTTTTAAGAAAAAAGTTTCGGTTGATTCTAAATATTTTGGTCCTCTTAGCAAAGTACAATTGTTGCATGTACAAATATGACATATTTACTTCGTAGATCAAATATTTATCAGTTATAATAGTTGTATTAAAAAATATCACAATCAAAATTGATTTATCATATTAGAAATTCGTTTGTCTTTTATTAATTTAATGTGTAAACACTTGTATTAACTATGAAACACAATTCTAATAACTTTTAAATAATATGAATTTTTTTAAAACAAAATTTTAATTTTTATTTTTATTTTTTTTTTTTTGAAATTTTAGGATCTGCCAAATGCTATGAACGCAGCCGAAATAACTGATAAGTTAGGTTTGCATTCACTGAGAAATCGTAATTGGTATATTCAGGCGACGTGTGCAACTAGTGGTGATGGTCTATATGAAGGTCTCGATTGGTTATCCAATCAATTAAAGAATGCCAATCGCTAAAATTAATTTTATATTAATTAATAAAAGACAGAAGAAGAAACACACACCTAAATTAAATTTAATTTACAACTACATTAATTACAAAAGGAAAAAGAAAATAAACAAAAAACAAAAAATAATAAAACAAAAAAAAATAAAAATAATATAAAAAAATTTACAAAAAATTTAATAAATTTCAAGAGAATCAAACCCAACTAAGTCTTCAATAGAACAGCAACAACAATAACATCGGAATAGGATACCACAGAAAAAAAAGTCTCAGAAAAAGAAGAAGTTTATAACAACATAATTTCTTAATAATATATATATATATATATATACGTATATATATGAAGGAAAATAATAAAAAAACAAAATTGATATAAAAAAAATGCATAAAAAATTAAAATACTTTTTTTTTTTTGTTTTTAATTAAGGTATATATACATATATATAGATAAAAAATAATAATATAGAAGAGGAAAAAAAAGCATTCAGCAAAAAAAGCAAATCCACACATTCGCAGTTCTTAAAAACAATTTTTTCAAAAATATAGAATTTCATTTTTTTTTTATTTTTGTATCAGACACGGGATAAAAGATTTTTAAAGTTGATTTCTTTATAATTTTTCAAAAACTTTATTTTTCAAATAAATAATTTTTTTTTTTTTAAATATTTTTTGTTCAATTTATTTTCATTACAAAAAAAAAAATTTTTTATTAAATTCTTCAAAAAGAAAAAAAAAAATATTATTTTTTCCAACATTTTGTTTGAGAAAAAGTTAGAGAATAAAATAAAAAAAAAAAAAACAAAAATATCGCAAAAAAAATTAATTAAAATAAACAAAAAACAGCACTTAAATTGATAAGAAAACCATTTACTATAATTGATAATAATAATTATTATAATTTAAAAAGTAAAAAAAAAAAATTTAAAAAAAAAATAAATATAAATAAAGTAAAAACTTAAAAAAAATTTTTTTTTTTTTCTTAAGAATATTTAACACGTATTTGTGTTGTCTCTATTACATACATACTATTATTATTAATTAATTAATTATGATTATTATGTATTTTTTTTTTATGTTGTATTCTCAAAAACTATTATTAACTTTTTGCAATCTTATATCTTATTATATGCCAACTAAATGTTATGATTTAATATATTATATGTATATATATATATATATATGTATGTAAATGGTTTATTAAAATATAAATACCTTTATATATATATACATATATACATATATATATGGTGCTTACATATATTTCAAAATTTGTAATAGGCTTAAATTGTAAAGAAAGAAAGAAATTAAAAAAAAAAAAAAGGAAAAAATAAACACATTTTTTACGATAAAAATTATACCCTTATAACCATCAACACTTTTTCACTTCATCCCCAAGAACCTAAAATGAAATTGTTTCAGCATTTATTAATATTATGAAAATAATTCATACTTTATGAAAAATATTAATATTTTTTTTTTTTTGTATTATAAATGTGTATTAAAGTTTCTTAAGGAATTATATTATATTAGCAGGAATTTTAAAAATTGTACATATTCTCATCTTATCATTAATCTAGTTTATGACTTGAATGATAATCGAATTATTATAAATGCAATTGTTCGGATACAATTTTAAGATATAATACTTACCTGAATTGAAATAAAAAAATATTTAAAATTATGTTTGATAATTCGGTAGATGCATAATATTGCAAAAGAAAATAATACACATATACTTGGTATTTACTATTTGCATAGTAATTTTAGATAAAATGTAGGTTCATTTTTGATTCTTCGTTAGGTGAGAAAATTTAAAAAATTAACAATATTGTTAAGTTATTTGATTCACAATTCTCATACTTAGAATTCATTGCCTATTTTCATGTAGCTCTTTTTCCATTACCCTTTCAAATTTAATATTTTCTTTTGAATAACACTTTATTTCAAATATTAAATACACTTTTCTCTTAAAATTAAGAAACTTAAACATAAATTGTTAAAAGAAAAGGAAAAGTTTAGATAATAAATAGTATTTTATAAAAGTTCATGACTATAATTTAGTTATTTCTTGGTACGTGTACACATAATAGGCATTTACAAATTTTCTTTACGAAATTTTCGAAGATATTTTTGTTTTTTTAAGTTAACATTAGAAAATAAAATAATAATTTCCATATAATATATATTTTTTTATAAAAATAATATAATATTAATCATATTAGGATAATATGAAATACATACCTAAAAGAATAATTAAAGGAATATACACAATATTTTTTAATTAATTAGTATTACTTTGAAAAATTTACGAAAAATTACATATAATGTAAAAAAAAAGTGATCCAATAAATTTAATCAACACTTAATTAAAAAATATTTAAATAGTTAATTAATAATTAAAGTATAATGGTTTAATTAAGAAGAAGAAGAAGAAGAAAAAAAAATACATAATTAAAATTAAAACGCTCATTCTCAAATTATATAATATTATAATAGTATTTTAAAATTAAATCGGTATATAAAATAATTTTTGGGTAGAATTTATTAAAACAATAAAATAGAAACAGATTAAGTAATTTTTATTATTTTTAAATTTTACACTTTATAATGAAATTTATTATAATTTTAAAATAACAAATTAAATTCATATTTTTTGTTTCGTGGTCTCGTATAAAGATACAATTATTGCAAAATATTTTGAAAACCGTCTCTATATTAAATAAAATAACAAAATAATTTTTTTTTTAATAGCTTTTAGAAATATGCTTGCAAATATCTTGTATATATATATATATATATAACAATTTAAACATTTTTTATTCACTTTATATATAAATTTTTTTTTCTTTTTTTTTTTTGTAAATCATTTTTTAAGTGATAATAAACTAGAATCTACAGCGTATTGTATTTAATGCTTCAGTTATTAAAAACAAAATTTTTCAAATAAAACAAAAAAGATCCTATCAGGGACAACGTTAGATTTTTGGATAGGTAAACCATTAAAATTATGTATTTATTCTCGTTTTTTTTTTTTTTTTCAAAAATTCTTTAAATTGCATAATAAATAAATAAAATCATCGCTATATTTATATAATAAAAGTATTGTTGACCAAAATTTTTTAGTCATATTGCATTTAAGAATATTGTTCAATAAACTTTTTTTTTTTTTTTTAATAAATCATATATTTCTAAAAAATTTCTTAGAATAACAATTAATTAATCAATAATTGTAAAGCAATTTTTATATATATATATATATAAAATATATCTAGAAGAAGCTCCATATTTGAAAATTTTTTCGAAAATTATTAAAAATAGCCTTTTACATAATTTTTATTCTCTATGGAATTCAAGAAATTTTTTTTGCAATTTTAAATGACCGTAACATAGTTAAATAGTATAGAAATGAATATGTAATATATATATATATATATATATATATATATATATATATATTAATTTTTGTATGATTCAGTAAAAAAATAGGAATAAACTGATTGAGGAATGAGTTATGAATTGTTAGATATACATTTCTATGCATTTTTTTTTGTGTTATGTAGTATGTTAATAATAAACATTTTTTTTTTTGTAATCAGGGTAATTTTCTAACTTTATTGGATTCTTTTTTGTTTTCTGAAATGAAAATAAAGGATTTTCTCAGTTTTTAGCATATTTTTAATAATGTAATTCAATTAAAAACAAAATTTAAGATTTATTAATAAAAAAATATTTTTAAAAGAAAATTTCATTAATAATTTAATTATTGTACTGTTTTTACATGGTGATTCATAAAAAATATTAAACATTAAAGTATTTCTTATACTAGTTTTTTTTTTTTTGTTTTATTTAAGCTAATAGAATGAAATTTTTGCGTTTTTTTAATTTTTCCTAGGCAAAGTTTTGTTTTCAATTCATTTGAATTAAAAAAAAAAAACATGAAAAACAAGTTAATGTAAAACGTTATTAACACAATTTAATAATATTGTCCGTGAATATATTAATATTGCAAATTATATATATTGTATTATATAGGGAAATATATTCAATTTTGTATAAGTACTTGATTCAAAAACACTAATTTTTCATTTATATTCGATTATCCATATTATACACGCATATACATAAAATGATAAAATATTTTCTTTGAGAATACATACATGGAATTTTGTTTATTTTAAAATATTAATATATATATATATATATATATATGAAAACAAGAAAAAAAAAATATCTAAAATGCCATATTAACTATTATTAGAGAGCTGCATAAATAATTAAAAATTAGAATATTCTACAATAACGGATAAAATAAAAATCATTTTTAAACAGCGTTGTAAAAAAAAAAAATTAATAATTTCAGAGAAAACACAAAAAAAAAAAAAAAACAAAATCTACATTATTTGTTTTAAGATTGAACGGCAAATTTTTTTTAAATTTGAGATAACTTCGAGTTCCATTTTTTTTTTTTATTAAAAAAAAAAAAATGTGAATTATTTTAGTATGAATAAAAACTTGTATAAAAAGATTTGTAAGATGTATAAAAGAAAATGAATACAAATTTTAAGTGTTTTTATTCCTACTTAACAATATTAAAAAAGACAATATGTTGAGTATTGAGGTCAAATGAACTTCCAGGAATTGCTATTTAAGTGAGGAGAATTTATTTTCAAAATTCCCGGAAAACGAAAATTGCATTGTCAACAAATTTGAAATGAACTTTTTTAAAGATTTCAAAAGATTTAATTAGTATATTCGATATTAGTGCTATTTCGAAGGACAAGAAACTAATTTTTTGTTAAAAGACCACAATCATCATTATAGTACATAATTGTTCAAGGTATACAAAGATAGGTTTGCTTCTGTTCACGGAAATGGACGAAAATTCAAAATGACTAAGTTACTTAAATTTGGAATTTAATATTAAAATTTTGGTAAGTAAAAAGATAATTTGACTAAAATAACTTGAAAGGTTTTACCAATTTGAATAAATCTTTTCATAGCTGGGCACCTGAAATAAAGATAAGCAAGTATGTATTATCTACATTTGCATGTAAGGACATTTATAATTTATAAGAATATAAAAAAAAATTTTTAATCAAATACTCGTAAATGTACATAATTTTTTTTTACAATTTTAGTGAATATTTTTGAATTTTTATGAATTTCTTAGATCCAATAAAAAAAAATTGAAATAAATTTTTACATATATTTGGAAAAATAAACGGGATGGATGATTTTTCTTAGTTCTAATTGATTTTAGAGTACGATCCTACCATAAATTGGGAATTTGACCTACATATTTTTAATTCGGTTTTATTGTCACATATAATGCCATAATTGTGTATTTTTGTTGTCAATCAACAAAATATAAATATAACTAAATCATAATTTTTTCATTTATTGTTATAAACAAGGCAGAATCAAGATAGAGACACGGAAGCAATGAATTAAAAAAAATTTTTTAAATA